CCAGACGAGCAATGCGCGGGTTCTCCTTGTGAGTTAATTTTATTTTATGAATTATTTTAATAATTGAAATTGAAGTTATGAATCTAATATTTACATTATATTGAAGACTCTATAATATTTAAAATATATATAGTTTAAAATAAACAAAAATTAAATTATCATTTAAGTGCTGTTCAAAAACTAATTAAAAAAAATAATTTAAATAATTAATTTTTAATTAACAATTTAAATAATTAATTTTTGATTTTGGTCGTTTCATTCAAACTATAACATAAGAATTCAAACTTGATATTTTTATAAAAAGAATCAATTGAATTTAAAGTTTTACATTATATCTTCACTGCACTTTTTAGAGTACCTGCTTCAGGTTTGGCGGTAGATTTGAATTTTTTCATTACCTATATATATTATAACTGATTATAATAGTGACTATTAACTCTCAAAATGATTATTATTAGTTTGATCGTCCTTCCGATTACCTGAAACCAGATTATCAATTTGTAATTATATTTAAAATTTCTGATTACCTGAGGCTGAAGAAAAATAACTGATACAATTATCAGTTTATTCATACAATACCATCCGAACTCAACATGACTCAACGCCATGAATCACTTTTTTCAACAATCTTAGAAATCTTTTGACGTACCATCATTAATTTCGACACTATTTAATGATATAAATTAAACATTATAAAAATTTCATACTCTGCTGGAACTGGAAAAAAACTCAAGTACGGCGACAAATACAAAATTATTGAAATTCATCTCGCAATTTGCGGCGTGTTTATTCTGAAGGTTAATGACATCTATTTGAAATTATTTATCTAATTTACATCAATTTCTGTAATTGCCAAACCCATTTTAATCAACTAATTGAGGAAGTAGTAGTAATTGATCGAGACGACGATCTTCAAGGAAATGGAGATAGAAGTCAGTTATAATTATAAAGGTTTTTCTTATAATAAATATAAAGGCTTCTGGATAAGAGGTGGATCTATTTTAAATTTAGTATTTTTTTAAGTGTTTGCTATTGTTGGCTCTTTTTGACCTGATTGATTTGCAAAACCTGATTGGAGCATAAAAGTCGAAGCTTTGACTTCAAAACTAGGTACATAAAAACACAATTCTTCAGATTAGAAATAATTATGGTGTCTCTGTTATTTTCAACACAGGTAGTCCTATAGATCACTAAAATAAATTGATCAGGGGTTCTTAAACTTTTATCATTCGCGACCCCATTTATGATAGCAAGCTTCTTGACGATTCCACACAAATATAAAAGAAAGAGAAATTAATATTTTTAGATGATCTATATTATTTATTAGGTAACAATATACATATATGCATATGGTTTTAGAACTTGTTGTAAAACATACAAAAATCCAGACGTGATATTATAATTTTTTTTTCTTTTATATTCAACAATATATTTGCAACTATCCTACATAGACATTAAGTAAATCTTTTGGCAATTATATATAAAAATTGACATCGATATATAAATAGTGAAAAATACACAGTTGCATTTTTCCTTTATAAGAAGTAATGTAATATGACACTAGTGATATTATAAAATGATAAATATGTTTTACATTAAAATCTCTATCCCCCATAATTTTTCTATGTGACCCCAAATGTGGTCGCGACTCATAATTTAAGAAGTCATTTTATAGATCACTAAAACAAATGCAAATGTCATTCTATACTGTTTATTGCTTATTTTATAGAACCTCAAGATTGATCTGAAGATCAATAAAATTAAATAATTAGCTTATGGAATTAAGATCTTAAGATCAATCTTGAGGTTCTATAAGATTAGCAATAAACAAGAATGACTTTTGCATTTATTTTAATAATCTACAATACTACCAATAATTATTGAACCTCTGATTCCTTTTTTTTTAAATTTCAATATCTGTTGCTAATAAATTACATAAAATCTAGTAATACATAGTACAAAAATGGACAGAATTTCCATTAAAATAATATTTGTATTATGATAATTTAATATAAAATAAAAAGCAATGACTAGTGGGGTGCATGACATCGTGCCTCAAGGCAAATTGCTGGAACTTCCCGTACCGTAATCAAGAATCTTGGTACGGAACCCAAAAAAAAATTACACAAAATGTGTACACATTATTGAAATCTCTATAAAATATCTGATAATTTGATGTACATATCTCCTATAAACATTTTTGACCGACAAATGACATTTTTTTAACTTATTTTCATTGAGAGTCCATAACCGCTGGGCCTGCCTTTCGAAAAATTTATTCAGTTCATCTTGTCAATACAAGTAAAATGTTTTTTGAATTATTAAAATCGGACGCTCCGTTCTCTTAAAAACTGAGTTACCGATTTTGGCACTTTTTGCCCCGTATCTTCGGAACAGATAGACCTGCCTATGCCAAAAACTAATCAGCACGTCTCCTTATCAATACGAATCGAATGTTTTTTGAATTATTCAAATCGGTTGAACCGTGTTCCTGAAATCGTCGACGAAAATTTGTATCCGCACACACACACACGCACACACACGCACACACACGCAATACACACAAATACATACATCCACTTTTTTAAGGTAAATATGCAATATACAATAATAATTATAACAATATTAGAAATGATAAAATAACAAAATGATAATAATAATGAAATAATAATAATAATGAAAAATAATAATAATAATAATTATTATTATTATAATGAAAGAACCTCTGATTCCTTATATTAAATACCTAATAATATTGAAAGAAATGTGATTCTATAAAATCATAATATATATATTTTTTGATTCTCATTTTATCTTTTACAGGCTACATTAATTTACAATTTCTTTTAACCAAATTTATTTTAATAATTACATATTTTTTTGGACGATATCAAAGTAATTTGTTAGTATAATTTTATAAAAAAAAACATTTTAAAAACTTTAGTGAATATAATATCATTATAAATATTAGAGCAGTTAAATTAATGTAATTGACTCATCAAAATAAAAATAGAATACAATTCGATTAACAAATGAAAGAGAAATATATAATAAAACACAGAATTAAAAGTATCCTTTCTCTTCAAATTTTTTGAAATTTATTTTCAAATAAATATTGGATATGTCTTTCTTCTGTAAACAAAACATTTACAATAATATATAAAATAACAAATCAAAACATTTTATTATACATTAATACTTTTATTTAATTATTATAAAATAGAAAGAGTTTACATTTTATCTTAATGATTTATTTTGCCTTACCTTTAAATTAAAAAGTGAATATGTATTTTCAATTTTATAATAATTATTTAATTGTATTAATATATAATATTTATTTTATTAATTATCAATAGTTTTACTGAAAAAGAGCATCTCATAACCCAAAGGTCTAATGATTTAATCAATTTTTAATTCAATTTTAGTTAATTCAATCTTTGAAAAAATAGGCTGTTTGTTCAGAAGTTTAAAAATCAAAATTAATAATAGCTATTCAGAAAACTTAAACAATTGTACTATTATTAATTTTTCTGAACCACCTCCCACTTTTGAAAAAATATTTAAATTTTAATTTATAAATATTTCTACATTTGGGGATATGGGATAAAATCTTATTTGTTCCTAGTAAAAGAGCTAACATTTTATTAACATATTTTTTATGCTTTTATACACTTTTCAATCGTTTGAAAATGAAAGAAAGGAAGTATAAATTTCACTCTTTACCTTTGAGGTATCGAAATTATTTTTAATTTTTTACTCACCATAAATTAAATTACACTCACTAAAAATAATAATTGATAATATATATTTTTATTTATATTGGTTGGTAGAATAATAAAATTTAAAATTTATTCTATTTCAATAGATCTAATAGATTGAAATTTATTAATTAATTATTATATTATTGCTGATTATTTTTTGATAAATATGTGTAGAAACATGACATGTCCATGTCAGGATGTAGATTATATAATTATATATAAATATATAATTTAGATAGAAATATTAACATAATTAAATTCCTAATGTTCAAATTAAATATTCAACCAGAATTACTCATATCCATTTTTTGGAAACCCCGTTAATTACTGATTCGTATTTACTCATTTAAAAATGGCGCGCATACAAATACGTATATATAATCTAAGATCATAGAATCAGTTTGTTTTTCTTTATTAAAATATGACCACGGGGTCTTCACAACCCGTGTAACGTTTAACTTTTTTGCACATTTGAAGAAATAAATAATAAATAAGCATCAGATAGAATAAGAATTTGTTAACATGGAAGCTTGCAGCATTGGAAGAAAATATTTGTGATTAAAATTTCAATATACAAAATTTAAAATCTTAAAGGAAATTTCTTATTTTTTTTATCTTACTAACGATTGTGTTTGTCTTTAGGAAGTATTATTGTCAAAATATAAATGCAAAATGCAAAGTTTGATGAAACAAATAATACCTACTTATCTTTTACCATGTGATATTTTCTCTCGGCTGCTGGCTCCGTTGTTGTATCATGCACAATTGTTCATAAAATTAATTTTAACTTATCTTTTTCGTTCTCGGTGTTTGTGAAGACCCACCCATCGTCCAAACGACATCTCGCGTCGACATCAACATTGCCAATCATCAGTTCTCCGACAACTGTTCGACCATTAGTACCGCGTCATCGAGTTCGACTTCATCCAGCTCTAGTTCTTCGCCGAACTCTTCGCCTGGTCAAACAAAAACGATCGATGTGGAAGACACCAGTCCCAAGTTGAGTAGAAGGCAACGAAAAAATAGATTGAATTCGACCACCCAGAAGAAAATGAAAACTAAGGTGACGACTAGCAAAAAGCAAACAGTGGTGGCCCAGAATTCGATTCAGGCCAGCCGGCCTCCAGCGCCGCCACTGCGACAACACACTAAGCTGAACTTGTCCGAGAATGAATTGGTGAAGTATTTGCGAGCTTATTTATTGAACGAGAGTCAGTTTTTGACTCTAGGGTATCCTGTGGAAAGCTCTTTGTACCCTAAACGAGCGATCATATATAAAACTAACGATCCTAGACAAAGTCCTCCGACTAATGTCAAACTATTTTACAACACGAGTTCTGCTTTTGTGCCGCCTAATGCTGAGACTTCCTCCACCGATTCTGGGCAAGGTTCTAGTGACGAAGAACCGAGCTCAATGAGTGAATTGGAACTTCAAAGTTTGAAAGTGAAGCAACGGCAATTCTACATCGAGGAGAAAATGCATAAACAACTAATGCGTCAAGATTATACGAGTGATGAGAAAAAGTGCGTGCGTTGCGGTAAAGGATTTTTCGTTACCAATGATGGTGAATACTTAACTCAAGAGCACTGTGCTTATCACTGGGGCAGATTGCAAATTAACCCTGATAACACTTACAAAAAGCAGGAATACACATGCTGCAAAGGCAAATTAAATTCCAATGGCTGTGAAACTGGAAGATTGCATGTGTGGAATGGTGTGGATTTTGGAGTTAATGGTCCATTCGATGGCTATGTTAAAACCAAGACTCGCAAGAGTAAAATGGATAATCCTGGTGTTTATGCTTTAGATTGTGAAATGTGTTACACAGCTCATGGTCTAGAATTAGCTAAACTTACTGTAGTTGGCAGTGATGGCAGATTGGTCTACGATGCTTTCGTCAAACCAGAAACTGAAATAGTAGATTACAACACAAGATTCTCTGGAATAACCGCCAGGGATCTATCAAAGCGAAACGGTACCACCTGCAAATCTTTAAAAGAAGTACAACATGATCTTTTAGAATTTATATATGCAGACACCATCTTAATCGGTCATGGTTTAGAAAATGACCTGCGTGCTTTGAAAATCCTGCACAATACAGTCATCGACACAGCCATTGCCTTCCCACACTATTATGGCTTACCATTTAGAAGAAGCTTGAGAAGTTTAGCCAGTAGTTTCTTAAAACGTGATATACAGTGTTCCGAGAGTGGACATGACAGCTTTGAGGATGCTCGGGCCTGCGTTGAACTGATGCTGTGGAGAATCAGAAAAGATCGAAGTAATAGTAACAGCATCAAGCAAGATGCTAATTAGGTGCTAGAGTGAATGAATAGGTGTGAATTTTGTGATACGATTTCTTACGTATTTAAAATCATGTTCTTTTAACACATCAGTTACATATTTAAAGTATGTATCTTTTTTAAAATCACTTCGAATCTTGAGCTTAACAAAGTGAGTTTTAGAACAAATACTATATAAATAAGAGTGTGATAAGTATAATTAAGTAGTTGTATAAAAATTATATTTATAATTTGATAATGCATTCACATGCAGATGCATAGTATGAATGTATATGCAAATGTATGTTTGTGAAAGTGTATGTAATTATATATAAATATATATAATTTTGTATGTATGTATGTAAATGTAACATATTTATAATTTATAAGCATATTTCATTTTTTACTTTTTCATCATATTAGTTTTATTTTTAATAATGTTGAATAGTTATAAGGAATCTCGTTATATAAGTAAGACTCAGTGTACTTAATTCATTATCGACTAAGTGTCTCTTAACGAAAAAGTATTACTATTTTAAAGAAGTGTGATTGTATGTATTAAATTAAAATATATATCTACATTTAATATATATTTGTAGATATGAATTTTTTGTGAGTTTGTATATAGGTATGAGATTTGTTGAATGTGTATTTTTTCAAATAAATTTTAATTAGATCTCGATTTATATGTATTAATGAGATTGATTTGTTAAATGTGAATCTTTTTACTTGTAAATGAGAGGCTATAAGTCTATGTATATATGAATAATGTACACTTTATAATTCTATTTTTAAGTTAATTTTGTTAAATATAACAAATATGAAATCAATTTGTGTTCAATTTTTGAATACTCATACTGTTGTTATTAATTTTAATCTTAATTACAGTTTTTTCATTTACATTAAGATCTCCTAATGAGTTGCTAGTATGTCATACTAAGCACGGAATTAAAAAACAATGAAATCCATTGAAAAGATCTAAAAATTTGTTCAATTTATGAGAATTTTGCTTATGTAAATACCAATACTATTTCACTTGCTTGTGTTGATCCAACATTTTTGGATTTTAAATTTACATATTTTTTAATAGCTGTTTATAAAATATATTTGAATTTTACTTGGAATCTTATTATTAATGCTCTGTTGATAAGTTTTATTTTGGTTTTGGTATGAAATATTTTAAATCTTTAATTGGTTTCAAACTAAAAAAACTGGTTTCTTATGAAGGTGATAAGTATATTATCTCTTTTTATTAATAAAGTAATTTTTAATAACCTCTATATTTATCTTCACATTTTAATATTTTTCTTTATCATATCAATTACAAAATTTAAACTTGTCAACAGAGTTAATAACTAACATGACTTCATTTCCTAAATATCATAATAATTTTCAATCGTCACAAAATTATTATGAATGATTAACTGATTGTAAATTTTATAGAAGTGTACCTGTATTTGTATTATCAATTCAGAGCTTCTGTTTATATTTACAAAGTCAATATATTAAATATTACAAAATCATTAAATTGAACTATTATATAGCAATGTATAACTATATTTCTAATTTAACAAAGTGCCTGTCGGAAAAATTCAAATGCCGATGAAATGTTTGAAATATAAAAAATATTTTATGAACTTTATTCTGTGTGCGTCTTTTTTATTTTTTATTGTATGATTTTTGAAAAAAAAAATTGATTGATTAAATGAATCATTTATGAAAAATATAAACATATTGTTTTATTGAACATATAAATTACTTAATAGATGCTGATTTAATTGATGATATTTTTTGCAAACAATTGTAGTAAAATTTGAATCTTTTAAATGGACATTCAATGAACATTTTGTATGTTTTAAAAGATATTTTTAAATTTATTATGAGTTTCGACTTTTTGATAAATACGATTTTTAAATTATAGATCAACTGATTAAGTTAATAGTTCTTGCAAATAGGAGAAAATTATATAACTGCAGTTTATTCAAGTCAGTATATTCAATAAAAGCCAAAGGTATTTTTTATGTTTAAATTTATTTGTAAATTGAAAATTACAATCTTTAGATTGTTCATGAACAAATATCATAGCTTATTAATTATCCCAAGGATAAGTTAGTTTTTGCCAAAGAATCGGACTTGCTGATATATATATCCAAATGTTAATTATTTTGACATGTTTGAAATGAGTGAAAATCCATGGATATATCTTTAATTCTGCATCTTTCTTCTGCTGTAGTTTTAGCATCAGAAGCAGCTTTAATTGCATCCTCTTCTTGCTCTTTCTCTGTCATTAGCAGTTTTACGTGCTGCTTCTGCTGCAGTTTTAGCATCAGCAGCTGCCTTAATTGCATCCTCAGCAGCCTGCTGTTTAACGATAGCAACCTGCTCCGCCAGATCAGCCACACGTTTTATGCCAATAAGAGAATCTTCTAGAGACTTATGATATACAGTATCGATTCCTGGTAATGGATATTCGTGTCTAGCTATTTCTCTGTCATTAGCAGTTTTACGTGCTGCTTCTGCTGCAGTTTTAGCATCAGCAGCAGCCCTAATTGCATCCTCAGCAGCCTGCTGTTGAACGATAGCAGCCTGCTCCGCCAGATCAGCCACACGTTTTATGCCAATAAGAGAATCTTCTAGAGACTTATGATATACAGTATCGATTCCTGGTAATGGATATTCGTGTCTAGCTTTTCTCTGTCATTAGCAGTTTTACGTGCTGCTTCTGCTGCAGTTTTAGCATCAGCAGCAGCCCTAATTGCATCCTCAGCAGCCTGCTGTTGAACGATAGCAGCCTGCTCCGCCAGATCAGCCACACGTTTTATGCCAATAAGAGAATCTTTTAGAGACTTGGTATGGTAATCTGAAGTAGATCTACTTTGCGCAACCGCTACAGCTGGTTCAACATCTTCTCTCTTTTCGGATGTTCCCTCACCACCACTATCCATGCTTGGATTTTCTATTTGAAAAATGTTAATATTTTTGACATGTTCAAAATGAGTAAAAATCCATGGATATATATCGATGACTTTTTGACATGAAATATTTAAAGGGAAAATTTGTATGTTTTTGAAACGTTTAAAATGGGTGAAAATGTTAATATTTTTGACATGTTTGAAATTGACGAAAAACCATGGACTATAGTCCGATTTTAAAAATTCAAAAGTCATCTTTTAAAACTCGTCAAGGGTTAAGAAATAGCATCGATTAGCTCTGCAAGATGATTTTTAGGAGTGTTTCTTTGGAATTAGTAGAAATGTGCGAAATGTTTGCATCTTTTTACGTTTCGAAGGCTTCTGAACATTTTGTTAAAAAATTGATGTATATGTGTTTAGTTTTTGGCACAGGCAAATCTAGCCGTTTCGGAGTTATGGCTAGAAAAGTGCCATAAATGGCAATTCAGTTTTGCCCGATTTGAATGATAAAAAAAAAAATTCATTTGTATTGATGGAATGTAAAGTTGATTAAACTTTTGGGAAGGCAGATCGAGCGGTTGATGAGTCCCAGAAAAAGAAGTTGAAACTAGTGAGGTGCATGGCATCGTGCCTTAAGGCAAATTGCTGGAACTTCCCGTACCGTAATTAAAAATCTTGGTACGGAACACAAACAAAAATTACACAAAATGTATACACATTATTAAAATCTCTATAAAATATCTGAAAATTTGATGTACACATGTGCAATAAACATTTTTGACCGCCAAATGACATTTTTTTAACCTATTTTTATTGAGAGTCTATAACCGATGGACCTGCCTTCCCAAAAATTTGAACAGTTCTTCATCTTGTCCATACAAGTACAATGTTTTTGAATTATTAAAATCGGACGCTCCGTTTGATTAAAAACTGGGTTACCGTTTTTGCCTATGCCAAAAACTAATCGGCACGTCCTTATCAATACGAATCGGAAGTTTTTTGAATTATTCAAATCGGTTGATCCGTCTTTCCGAAATCGTCGACGAAAATTTGTATCCGCACACACACACATACATCCATTTTTTCTAAGGTATGCCAAATATTCAGAAACCTTTGAAACGTAAAGATATATAAAAATTTTCATTTTTGATTTTTTGCGATTACTATAACTTGCCCTACGGGAAGTTAATTAAAGTATTTATTGTTTAGATATATCGAGTAATTCCGATGTTTTTGCAATAGTTGCTTTTATATTTATATTTCACATTGTTCTGCAAATTTGTTTATACGGAACTGCTAGTGAATGACTAATAGTATTCCATCTGGATTTATTTATAATTATTATGTAACAGTATACTTCCATCTACTCATTTGGTCATTCTAGCGTAAAAGTCATCTTAAAAACTGACCTTTTTCTCACTTTTTCGCCTTAATGACGTGTAACTGATTCTGATTGAATCACTAACCTTGACATAAAGAACAAATCAACCGAATCCTCGTCGTTCCTAATTAGATTTTTATTCAATGGCAATGTGACATGATAATGATTTATCATAAGAAATAGTATAATATACTATAAATAAAATATTCACACTCTAGGTAACTTCCCTTAGGGTAAGTTATAGCAATCGCAAAAAAATCGGAAATGAAAATTTTTATATATCTTCACGTTTCAAAGGTTTCTGAACATTTTGGCATACCTATGTAACCTAATGTATGTATGTGTGTGTGTGTGTGCGGATACAAATTTTCGTCGACGATTTTGGGAACACCGATCAACCGATTTGAATAATTCAAAATGCGTATTGATAAGGAGGCGTGCTGATTAGTTTTTGGCAAATGCAGGTCTAGCCGTTCCGAAGATACGGGGCAAAAAGTGCCAAAAACCGTAACTCAGTTTTTAAGAGAACGGAGCGTCCGATTTTAATAATTTAAAAAACATTTTACTTGTATTGATAAGATGAAGAACTGCTCAAATTTTTGGGCAGGCAGGTCCAGCGGTTATGGACTCTCAATAAAATAAGTTAAAAAAATGTCATTGGGCGGTCAAAAATGTTTATTGGACATATGCACATCAAATTATCAGATATTTGATAGATATTTTAATAATGTGTACACATTTTGTGTATTTTTTTTTTAGGTTCCGTACCAAGATTTTTAATTACGGTACGGGAAGTTCCAGCAATTTGCCTTAACGCACGATGCCATGCACCCACTAGTTATTAGCTTATTTTCCACTTCTATTTAGCAAAGATTTTGAATTTCTTATCAATTTATTTAGTTCAAGTAAAGTAGAATCGATGAAGTAGTAACTTCAACGATAATTTTGTATAATTATACTTTCAGTCACATTCTCTATTCATTGAAATGATTTCTATATTTTTTACTAATTTATTTCTATATTTTCATGTTGAGTGTATAAAGTTTAAAACATTTGTTCATTTGTTGGTGGAGATTGATGGAACTTATCTCGACTTCTGATGTTTTTCATAAAAAGAAATTATATTATTTTTGTTTTGTATAAAAATCAGCAGATGTGCACATATTCAACTTTCACATTCGTAATTATCTATATGTATATATATATATGTATGTGTATATATATATATATATATATATATATATATATATATATTAATATAAAATGACGATATAATATGAATCACGAACATGATTACCGTGGCAATGAACTTACAAATGAAAGTAGAAAGTATTAGATATTGTTATGTTGTATTATTTGTGCAGAAATATAATATATGCAGATTTGCCCGTATGCATGTCAGGCTATAAATCTATTTTTTTAATATTCGGACATATATACATATAGATATATATTCGAATAGTCTTGAATTTGATGTTGATATAATATGTGTAATTTGAGTTAAAAAGTCGGACGTTACATCAATAAAAATAGTATGAGAGTTTTTAAAAATTTATTTAAAATCCATTCGGTTCGGCTAACAACTTAACCTTCATTCAAAACCTAAGTAAATGCCTTCATCAACATAAAAACAACTCAAAAAATCACAACCAATTCAAAACGATGTTAACTGTTTTGAGATTTTTTCAACTCAAAAATTTTACATTTTGAAGAGAACGTAATTAAAAGAAGATTCGCTGAGGGATTGTTTTTGCAATTGCATAACGACAGGGTCATAAACAAACGCTTCGACAATACGGCCCTGAACGAAACAAACACGTGGTTTCTAAATAGCGTGTCAAAATTTCTTAAAAAATGACAAGATCCCATGGCTTTTTAAAATTTCCAGTAAAATTCTTCCAAATTTTATCAATTTGGAAGCATTCGAGCCCCTGATAGCAAGTAAATTCAAAAACACCCATATTAAGGCTCACCTTAATTATATTTATGTGTGTGTGTGTTGAGAGTAATTAAAATATAATAATGATAATGCTAAATAGCAGTATGAAATTAAAACTTGCAATGCAGCTCTATTTGTCAGTAGTCAATATTTTATAAAATATTTTTTCAAACAAATGTAGAGAAATGCAGACGTCCTAGGCCACTTTAGTTTATGTAATAAATTGGAAACAAAAAAAAATTCAAATATGAATCAAAACTCTGAATCTCCAATTGTGGCATGCTTTGCAGTGGGTAAACCACCCATTTACGAGAGTCATTCAAGTGTACGTAACTTTACCGCAACTTTTTGGCCCAGCAGCCTTAAAGAAAACAAAATTTTTAGACGAGTTGAAAAAGTTTGATCTTCGCTGGGTTCATGTTGAAAAATAAATTACCATTTTTCCGAAACAGTGCTTTTCATTTGTAAGCTAAGTAGATATTTGTTGGATGACCCACGTATATATTTTCAGGAAATCATGTACCATGCAAATAACTATCCTTTTTTATTTCCGCCATAGATAGAACAGTTTTTGTATGGTCTCTGACTTCTCTTCCTGCAACGCGATCTTTCCGGATAAATGTGCCTTATGACCACGCGACCAGGGTGTGCTGGTCCCCAGATAACAAGGCGCTGCTGGTTCACACGTACCAGGAATCAACGATCATGGTCTTCAAACTGGACAAGTGCAAGAAGGACAAGGAATCCTGGTTCAGCGGAGCTAATAATGCTATTACGTTTCCTAAGGTTGGTAAATTGAGACGAAAAAGTCCAAATATTATTAGAAATCAGAAACTAATCAGGAATTTCTTTAAATGTTATTATTGTTTTTATTTGATATTAGTCGGATAATAGTTAAATCAAATCTTGGTGCTTGTTTTATAATTATTAATTTTTTTATCATATCCAGTTTTTTGTACATATTTTCATCAGCAATCAGAACGATCACTTTATTACTGCAACTCCTATAATATTGGTGAATCTTTCATTAGTGCAGCAATGCATTTAAAGAGTAATTTTTACTTACATATATATTATTATCAATATATCTAAGAAAAAAACGATGTCAAGACTGTTTGACATCAGACTGCCGATGCAGGTACATGTAACGAACCTGAAACTTCTGATTGAAAATCTATAGCTCTTACTAATAATTCACCAGGAGGCTATAATAAACATATGACTCCAAAGTTAGTTTTAACAAAAATGAATAAAAGCATGCAAGTATTCATTATATAATTTTGCCATTTTACCATATTGACGCCATTAACTGAATGTTTACAATAATTTATGGCTTTGTAATTTGATTTAATAGAGTCTACTTAATTATTTAAGGATGAATGGTCAGTTCGCTCTTAGCATTTATCATAATCACTATAAATTGATATTCAACGTCAAAAACAATTACAATTGAATAATAAATACAAGTATAAATTGAAACAAAAAAACTTAGAAAAGTAGTATAAATTAATCATTGTGAGATCTATTAATCAAAAATTCATGATGTCTACTCACAGATAATTAAAATATTTTTTTTTTTTTTACAAATGTCGTTCGAAAAAGTTATCATAAAGTCATAATTTTGACAAACATCTAAACAATTTTCTAACGAATAAACTAAAATATTATAGGCCTACGACAAGTAATTAAATAATAAAACCCATCAATGTTTAAAATAATGTGCTGGTCAAATGGGATTTAGTAAATAGCTATTACTAAGGAAAAAGTTTGATTATACTTGAATTACAATTTCTTTTATTTATTGTTCAGTTAATGTCGGTGATTACAGACAATACTTTGTATCAAGCTCTATAAATAATTCAAGATTCTATCTATATATTTAACTTTTTTTCGAAAATCTCGTTGTGATCAGTGGTGCAAATCAAAGTGGTAGCGATGCGTAAAGTAAAATATGTCAAGACTATTGTAATATATTTTCTTTTATTTTGTTATTTTATTCGTCATCGAAAATTATTGCTTGACGAATAAAATAGTCTAGTATACTAGACCAAAATAAAACCAAAAATATTTAAAATAAGTGCTAAGTGCTCCAATTTAACCTGGAGTTTAATCATATTTTTTTCGTGCTGTCTACGAGTGTTTTATAAATTATGTCCTATAATGTAGGTTAACAATGCATATTAATGTTGATTTTTGATTATGATTTATATCTTACCCCACACAGCACATGGTTGACATAGGGTCAACCTATGGTCTGTCTAAACCCATTAGGTTATAAATTGGCCCATTATGGGCTTATAATAACCCGGTAGGCTGTAAATGGAACCAAACAGGTCGACCATTGTTTGACCCGTGCTGTATGGGACGATTCTTATGTTCCAATTGTTGTGCCAATTTTTGAAAATCTATTCGCAACTCTTATTAAGACCGTGTCTATGGGTCTAGGCACAGGGAACAAGCAAGAAAGCCGGAGCCTTCCGAAGACTTCCGAAGCCCTTCCTAAGCGAAATCCGATCGAGGGCGATAAGAATGGCTCTCTTCTATCATGGCGCTCTCGAGAGAACATCTTACAAAAATTACATAAATCGACGTTTTAGTTTTCTGATATATTATTAAATAAATCCAACGTAACTTGATAGTAAATTAAAGTCATGATATCTGAACACCTTAACAATTTGACCGACAATATGATTATTTTTAAACAATGTATAAAAATTTATTTACCAAGAAAATTTGTTTAGGCGCTTTTTCTGAAGGATGTTTCATATAACGCCAGATGGTTATAAACAAACGATTTCTTCTTCTTCTTATAATTAACAAGTGATTTGTGGATAGTATTTCGAAATTTTCTGTTAATATAGTATAAAAAATGACTGTAATTTCAATAATTCTAATTTATTTTCAGGTTTTCGATTCAGAATGCATTGGTCTGCAAATTTCGAGCGATGGCCATCATGTGATGTCTTGCTCTAAAGATGGAAAATTGGTTTTGTTTGATACAAAAGGAAATGTTACGCAAAAAATCGAAGATACTGGACTTGGTTCGAATCATTGTGCTCGGTTGTCACCAAACGCTAAATTTGTAATAGTCTGTGGTAAGATATTATCATGATCCTAATACCCTAGAAAGAGGGGACAGACAGAAAAAATTGGGCATTTTGTCAAAAAAATTATAAATGATAATTGCTATCCAGAAAAACTTCAACAATATTTATATAATAGGTTGTCAAATATTTCCCTTCCGCCTTTTTGTATTATAAACCAAGAGCAAAAATAAGATACAAAAATTTTTTAATACCTATTTCAATGCCAACATGATGCCAACCTAATTCGGGGCATTAGTATACTGCTTGAATTTAGATCGGCCTAAGGAATAAGGACAGGGGCAACAATTTGTGTTTATCTGTCTATAATCAGAAAAACAGTTCGTACTGTTGAAGTTTTTTTAATCAAATTGTAATAGCTCAATATTTCTAAAGATTCCGCTTTCTAATTATTAGGAAACACTTGTTGAAACCAAATTATTTTTTACCACAGGATTCTCACCAGATGTGAAACTTTGGACGATTGGCGACGATAAGGATAAGGCATCGGCAAGACAAAATCCTTCATCAGGCAGCGATAGCAGTTTGAAAAGAGCTTTTGAACTTACCGGACATTCTGGTTCCGTTTGTGATGTCGCTTTCGAGATGCAGACACTCCAAGTTGCCAGTGTTTCGAAGGCTGATGGATGGCGTCTTTATGACATCGATGGTAAGATATTATTATTGCTACTTGTGAGCACAATACTTAATTCATTCCTCTTCCCTGCCTTGATTATAGATCACTTTTTAATTTACTTTATCCCAATTACTATTTCTTTTCTATTACCTCAGTGAATTACAAGAAGGGTCAATCTCCAATTCTTCTGAAGAAGGCACCGTTCCAAAATGCTTCAGGAAATGTTGGCGCTGATGATGAAGTATCGCACGTGGCCTTATCGCCTGATTCGAGTGTGATTTGTGTTTCTCAGGGAAGCGACCTGATGTTCTATGAAACTGAAGGCGGATCCTTAGACAGGTGCATTGAGAAGGTCTACAGCACAGGTAATAATTAACATTTATAATATTCAGAAATCTATGTAATCGTAATAAAAGAGTTCCAACGATTAAGTGTGCATTGCCATGTGCAGACAGTGTCGTGAATTCGAACTCCAGCTCTGGATAACCTGATATCAGTATCAGGTTATCCAGATATCAATTTTCTTTTGAAAATATATATCTTTTTGAAAATCTCTTACATAGGGAATATGTATACATATCTAATAGATTGTAAATACATATAACTAAACTGCAGAATGAATAACTAAAAATATATTTCTAGGTCCAATCACTGGTGTCAAGTTTGATTCAACTGGAAAGTATGTTTTTTGTACCGGTGACAAGCATGTCCGCATATTCCATAATGTGACTGGATACAAAATTGAAATTAAAGAAAATCTCAATAAATTGAAACACAATACAGGTGTAATGAATTCTGCTACTAGTGAGAGAATTTCTAAGACTATTGAAGACTCGAGGAAGTTTTTGGAAAGTATTGGAGAAGAAGAATGGAAATGAACTGAATAAAACATTAACAGATTGTAAAAAAGTGATTTCATAAAAATAATATATATATATATATATATATTATATATTAACCATATAATTCTTAAAATGTGTACTTTCAATCATAGCAAAAAAGAGAATTTGTTTTTTGTCATTGTTTTTGTATACCTGCTTTATTTCAAATGAAATTGCACTTTTTACAATCTGTGTCGACTGATATACATTATTCTATAAAGTCAAAACATTCCACCGAATATATTAATAGTTTAAATACTAATAAATGATTATATTCTAAAAATACTAATAACATTGTAACTAATACTTTTATATATGTTTGTATATCTTAATATGATTCTATAAAATATTTTTTGTATTATGTTTGTAATAAACAGTTATTTCTGTATGTTTCCTGTATATGTATTCAATCACCTTTACTTAATTCTATATATTATTAAATTTTGTAAAATATTTATGCTTTATTTAGCCAATAGTTAAAAAAACACAATGAAAAATGATTTTACTTATGCAATGATTTCTCAATTTGATGATATAGATTATTTAAAGGCAATTTGATAATATAGATAAACTTTTATTTGATATGATATATGAATGATCTTTTTTTTTTAACACCAATTCTGATGATAACTATTTTCAATCAATCAAAAAATGGAAAGTTCAATTTAATATTGCATATTTATTTGCATATGTTAAGAGAATACTATAATTCTGTGATTTAGTTTTAATAATCGAAAACTGTGTGATAAAAGAAATAAGCTAAAAATATAAATCTATTCAGATTTAGGTATAATACATATAAGTATTGAATAATTTTGTGATTATATGTATTAAATGAGGATATGTAGGAAATACAGTATAAATGCAATTATTAATCAAAAAAATTCAGCAAATTAATCTGAAATGATACCAGATATGGTAAGAGTTTAATATACATAATATATAGTTAATGATATAGAGATATTAATTAATATAATATTTTGATAATAATTTATAGCTAAACTCAAAAAGTTTAACAAATAATGTCTACTAATTAATATTAATTCATAAACAAGTGCATGCTTGTTTTTTAATAGGTCAACATAAAATCAAACAAATGCTCACACTGTTGTGACATTTACATTTTTTTCTAATATAAAAATATACAAAATTAAATCGGTGCTATGGTCTTACTTGAACATCGCATGTTGGTGTATCGTTTAATTCCATGTAATGATAAGTGAGTAATTCGATTGATAAAACTAAAAAATCGTTCACAAATAATAATAATGTATCTAAAACTTTACCTATAATTATAAAGTAAATAACAAGAAATGTATTTCTGTGCTTTGAATCTTCCGCCATATTTGAATAACAAGCAGAAGTTGGTATTTAAATATTTATGAAGGTCAATTCCTTTTATTCAGTGTAAACATAAGAATTATTTACAAAAACATAATTAGACACAAATATTTTGTATTATGCACGACACATATTGTAAATTAAATAATTAAATAAACATTATAATTTTTTGCATATTTCGCATTGAACGTTGGCTATCCTGTGAACTACAATATGGCCGACATCTAATTTGTACTGTCGTCTAACTCATAATCCAATTTGGAAATAAGTGTAAATTTCGAGCAAAAGTCGTAGTTTAATTTATTATCTAATATTTGTGTGTGTAACGTTAGTTGTCAGTGATTATTATTCTATTGTCGGAGAACATATAGGTAAAAAAATATTTTAATTAGTGATACGGAATCATTTTGTCATTTTGGCATATTGCAATATTGCGTTTTGTGTGCACTTTTAGTGTTTCCTAATATGATTGTGCATAATGCAGGTGCATTGATAATAATTGATTACTAAATTGTTTGTGACGTACATTGATAATTACATAAATCGTTTTTATACGCTATGAGTTTTTTTCACATTTTCTTTGCTCATAACATTTTTTTTCAAAACAAATGATTTCAGCCATCACACTGTTACGAGTATTGACGTACGGGGGTCAAAGGCTAAATTTTCTGGTAAATAGTTTTCGGTTTACCCGTCTGTTTATTTGGAAATTAATATGAAAAACTTGAAATATGCTTTTCAAAGAATTGTAAAAAGTGGGAGCAAAGTCGTGACACTAATTACGTATTTTTTCTCACGGATATGATTTCGAATTTAGCTAAATGCGCTATCACAAGATTACTCATCATTTCAGAATTGCACAATTATCTGGCATGTTTTGTTTTAAATTAAGATTGCAAATGTTTTCAAATTTTAATATTTGATTTTAAAATAAAATTTATTTAAATTGTATTTTTAATTTCTATAATAAAATTATCTGAATAGTATTTCATTTTTTATTCTAGTAACATGATCCGTAGGCCTGTGGTAGGTCCCAGGAGCAAGGAGTGGAAATGTTGCTTCTGTCTCCACGTTCGGACTGCAACAATATGTCTTGGCATTTGGCATTTGGTAAGTAATAACTTATTTCACATACTTTTTGTATTTTTGTGTATTTTTTGAAAAGCCGACACAAGACCAAATCCCACTTATTGGTACATATAACTTCTACTATAATATGTAAATGCATGTTACGAGAATTTGATATTACTTTGAATCATTTTTTTATATTCTTTATATTATTAGTGCATTCATATTGTAATTACGGTTATGATATTTTTGCCTAGATGCTAGAACTCGTTAATAGATTATCAGTTACAGTCACTTATTTCTACATTATTAAATTCTAGATTGTGCTCATAGATAAACAAGCATGATTGTGCTATAATTTATCTATTTATTTATGCGGACAATAGTTGAAAATATTGATGAACAGAAAAATTTTCATCATTTTTTTATATTGTGAATTACAGTTATGTGATATTTTCGTAGTTGCTAGAACTCGTTAGATCATCAGTAAGATCTCAATGAGAAATGATAACACATGCATGAATAATTCAAAATAAATATTTTTATATATAATTAAAAAAAGTGTAAACAATTTAAAAGTATGACAATGGAGCATTCTAATAGTTTGAATCACAATATGAAATTTTTAATCCAAAACATCTTTCATTTTGAAGAAAAATTATTTATATATAACTTATAAGAATTCAGGTAACTTTCTTTTATGTAATGCCAATTATTTGAAATTATCCATATATGTTGATTACTTGGATTAACACAATTGTCTTAAAATAGTTGCTTTTTTGCAATATTTTTAAATTTTCAATATTTTTTTTATGATATGAACTATTTTTATTACTTTATATATATATATATATACAACGTAATACGGTCTTCAAACTGACATGTTCGTTTGGAATAAGCTTTTTTATAATAAAATACATTATTTATTTTAATTTTACAATTTTTTTAAAAAAATTTCATAACTTGACGTCTTATCAATTTTTTATTTCATATTTATTTTTTTGTGCAATTTTGTGTTTTTTGTGTTATTTTTTAAAATTTATTTGTATGCCAAAACGTATGTTTCTCTAAATAAAAACATTTTTCAATAAAACTGTTTTTTAATTACTGGATGGATGCCCAAGAAACAATTTTATCATATATATATATATATATATATATATATATATATATATATATGTATATGTATATTTTACTTCTACTGCTCATCTATATATTTTGATTTCCTCCTTCAATTTTACATTCATCGAATATTTTTACATATTTATATTTATACATTATTTATACATTATTTTTACTATAATCTACTCTACATACTTTTTTATATTTATATTTTTTCATTCAGTTTTATATTCATAGAAGATAAATTTTACATAATTATATTTATATTTTATTTTTCCATGATAAATCTATATCTACTACTACTACTCTTTTATATCCATAGAAGATAAATTTTTACATATTTATATTACATAATTATATTTACATAATTATATTTATACTTTATTTTTCCATGATAAATCTATATCTACTACTACTACTCCTTTTTATATTTTATATTTTTTCATTCAGTTTTATATCCATAGAAGATAAATTTTTACATAATTATATTTATATTTTATTTTTCCATGATAAATCTATATCTACTACTACTAACCTTTTATATCCATAGAAGATAAATTTTTACATATTTATATTACATAATTATATTTACATAATTATATTTATACTTTATTTTTCCATGATAAATTTATATCTACTACTACTACTCCTTTTTATATTTTATATTTTCTCATTCAGTTTTACATCCATAGAAGATAGATTTTTACATATTTATATTTATACTTTATTTTTCCATTATAAATCTATATCTTCTACTACTACTCAATTTGATATTTTATATTTCCTCGTTCAGTTTTACATTCATATTTTATCTGAGATTTTAGCATACTTATTTCCATAATAATCATATTTTTATTTTACACCAATTTATTTAGTAGTTTTAAACTTTTTTGAAGGTTGCTGGATTTTATCTACTTGCCTTCTCATATTGATAAATTATACCAATTGATTGATTATTCATACTGATGATTATTCATACCGATTGATAAAAAAAGATTATCCATGTTTAATTTTTTTCCAGATGCTGCACTTGGTTGCACTATGTGTTCTTGTGATAATTTTGCATTCTCCGAACCTGATAAACCAATTGGAGCACCCAGATCAATCAATGATGGGTGTAGGTGTTGGTTCTATTTCTCGTTATAACGGAGACAATAGCTTGTTAAACAAGGTTGATGATAATGGAACACCTTTGGGAGAAATGGAGCATCCTCCATATGCATATAGAGACCACTCACTTACATATCGTAAGTACCTAGAATAATTTATAAAAAATTATAATTTGTTATATTAGAAAATAGAACAATATATCATATCATTGATCAATTTGTATGTTTTACATCATATATTTTTTTACCACTTCTGTAATATTGAATTATGATGTAATATTTTTTTTATTTCCATTCAATTTATTTAACTTAAGTATGGAAAATGAGCTATATTATTACTAAACTTTTATTTTGAGTAAGATCATGTTTGTTTCAACTACATTTTAGTTCTCATTTCATTTACAATTTAGTTTGTCATTGAAATTACATTTTTACATTATGGTTAGGAAACAAATTACTTTCAAATAATCTTTCAAAGGCATTTCCGATTTGTAGTCTACAGCTATTCTTCTAAACACTATTTGATTCAATATGATTATGATCAATGAATTTTTTTTGATAATATGAAAAGTACTTTTTATTGAAATGGGCAATTTTTTACCATAATCAAAGCATCTGGATAACCCAAACTATTATTTATTCTAAACTAAGTTGATGGCTAATGATATAATAGAATTCTGAAAATTTTGCATATCAATGGATTTGAACAAGTTGAATATGTAAACATATTTATATTTTTATTTACTCTTTTCATTCAATATGTAAATAAGATTTCAATATATTTAGTACATTTCTGAATGGAAACTTGTAGCCTTGAAATTACAAAAGAAAGATATATTCAAAAAATTCTGATCTAAACTAATTTAATATATAAATAATACAACTGAGCGATGGTTATGTGACGGTTTTACGAGAGCAGATTTACCGTACGCCACTATCAATATTACAGTTAACGCCTCTCGTTCTATTTTCCACGCAAAATTTAATATATTTCAAATATTAGAAAACGTGGAGTAGCGAAGGCAATGTATTTATGCATCCTAGACTGGTCTTTTGTCTGAGTATGTCCCTTTTTCCTTGCCTCTGGTACAATATCTGGAGTAATTTTTTGGCTTTTATCTCGTGTATGTGCATGTGTATGTATGTAAATATATATGTATGGATGAATGAATGAATGTGTGGATATAATTTTTGACGACGATTTTGAGAACACGGATCAGCCGACTTGAATGATTCAAAAAAAAAAAAAATTTGATTCTTATTGATAAAGAGACGTCCAAGATAGGTCCAGCCGTTTCAATGATATGGACAAAAGTGCCAAAAATTGAAATTCAGTGTTGGAAAGAATGAAGCATCCGATTTGAATGATTCAAAAAACATTTTACTGGTATTAACAAAATGAAGAACTGATTTGATTTTTGAGGCAGCAGGTCTAGCGATTACGGAGGACTAATAAAAAAAAAGTAAAAAAAAAATGCCATAGCAATCATTAAACATATGCATTTCAAATTATCAGATATTTTATAGAGATTTTAGTAATAAGTATGAATAATTGTTTTTATTTCTATGGATTCTGTACCAATATTTATCAGATATACTGCCATGCGGCGCTTACGCGCTTCGATATTTTGTTTATAAAACAGCTACGCAGCCCGATTGCTTTAAATAAAAGTTCATGATATTCAAAAAATGTCAAAATATAAAAAAATTAACATTATTCAAAAAAGTTAATTTTTTTAGAAAGTTTCAAACTTCTCAAAAATCGATCTTTTCAGTTTACAAATTAAATTAGTTTACTTAAAAATTTTAATTTTCGGTACGGGAAGTCCCAGCAATTTGCCTTAAGGCACGATGCAATGCACCACTAGTTTATATTTATTTTTATAAATGCTCTTATATATTGAACACATAGTTTTGTTTACATATATAGAGTACATATAATTTTTTGTTTTCAAAATATGTTAGTAAAATCGTTCCATCTAAACATATTGAAATTTCATTTCGACTTTGAAATTTGTTTCAGTTGATTTAACATTAGTTGAAACGTCCTGAAGATGTTTCTTTTTGTTAATTTTGGTATCTCGACGATTCAAGCCATTATGAATCGATTGAGGCCGTAATTGGAAAATGTATGTGTTTTCGGTGAAGCCGATTTTCTCATCGTTTTCTCAAAAAACTCAAAACCCATGCGATGAACGTCGATGAGCACTTGTTGGGCAGTTGTTCGATGCGATCGGTCGAGCCGTTTCTTTAGAATCATCAGAAAAGTGCAAAATCAGTGTACTTAGTTTCGTGGGGTAGCTCTTTTAGGACATACATGGTGGTGTGTTTATGCACTATAATTAATATAATTTTATATACATATTATAATTTTATTTAATAAATAACAATTGGAAATCGTATTGATTAGATTTTGCTGGAAAGCAAAATTTTCATTTTCCAAATAAGTCGTTAAAAATTTTACGTAATTAGCTATGTAATTATTATTAATATCATCATATCATTTTATATATCAGTTTAATATCAACTCTTATCGATTGTCGATTAATTAATACTAATAATTAATACTAATAATTACACGCATAGGGAAGTTTGTGAAACTTGCGTTAAGACAAAATGCCACTTACACCTAGTTATTACATATTGGAGTCAATTTGTATATTTACAAAACTCGTTTAAAATATCTACGAGTTTGTAATTAATTTTTATTGTTTGTGACATTGATATGACATTACACAAGTTTTGTTCATAAAAGTTGATACACACTTTTGTATATGATTTCATATACATATATCTGTTGATTATTTATATATCTGCAATGGAAACCACAAGCGGTTTGGAGAAGATAATTAAATTAATCATGAGCAGAATATTAAACATGAAAAATCAATAGGACATCTAAAAATATTTCTTTTAATGCGGTTAGCACAATAATCCAATATGTTGGAAAAATCAATAAAATATTTTGTCATATCAAGTTTGTATTTTGGTAAATAAGATTATCTAAAAGGTTGAATAAACTTTCTTTATACTTTTCTGGTACTTGTAAAAGTATTTGCAACTTCAGGCTTATTTTATTTTCAATTTTTAATAATAATATTCCTATTGATTAAGATAAATGCTTTGTTGATATTTTATATTCAAAATATTTTTTAAATATTTTTATGAAAGTATAAATATACATACATAAAAACAATTGTTTTTGAACATTGTGAGATAATACTTTCTTTTCAAGAAAGTTATTATCATAACATTTCAATTTCCTTGACTTTACTATTTGCTGTCGTCTATCATAACAATAAATTCTGAAGTTATAAATAATTAATGAAGTGTAACAACATATCTTATCAGTATATGAATTAATTACAAATAATTTTTTCATTTATTTTTATTTGCATACAATTTGTTTTTATAATGAATTTGCTATAAACTCAAAGTTTGTAAAATTAATTTGGATGCAAATACTTGTATATAGTATTAACTAAAAATAAGTAAATGCGAGAAAAATCCTACATGGAGTTCTATATATTAATAATATACACATTTACTTATTCAATCAGCATGTTCTATAATCATAACTTACAATTATATACATATCAATAAGATATACATTTATCTTTTCATTCAGTATGTATTATAATCAAATAAATAAAAGCGTACTAGACTAAATATAAGTAGCCATATATATAGAACGCACTCTGATTTTTAATTGAGATTCTTTAATTAACATTCAATCAGTAATCATATATTATATCATACAATATACTAAAATTGTATAAATTAAATATAATAAAGTAAATTGTATTAACTAAATATAATAAAGAAATTGTATTAAACTGAAATAAATATTATTTTTATATAAAACCTATGTTATAAAAATATAACTATGGAATTACTTGGAATGGTTTGATGATTTATATTATTCATGCCATAACTTTATACAGCTTTTGCTCAATTTAACTTAATCATTAATATTTGATATTATTCCATTTGTAAAAATTAAGAAATATGTAATTCAGAAACAAGTTGTTGGTTCTTTTTTTGACCTCGGATTATGTTTCTATATAAAATTTGTATATATTTTTTTTGACTTGGCAAGAAATGATTTGGTTCATCATTCCAATCATTCCAAAACCATTCCAAACTTCCAGAATCATTCCAAACTAATAAATAATCTAATATCAAATATCTCAGAGAATAAAATGCATTCTTTGGAATCTGACGAGCATATTGTATTACAATTTCAGAACTACCTATTGCCTAATTAATTTGGATCTGTAATTATAAAATTAAAATGCATATATATGGGCTTAATTTTATAATGGCATAGGTTTTCAAATTATTCCAATAAATGAATTGATTATTATTTTCATACTTCCATTCATTTATCATATATTAGGTGGTAATTATTGAATTAAAGATTTGGTAATAAAAATTTCTTTCATTCCAGATGATGTGGACATGGGTGCTCTGGTTACAATTTGTACACTGGCCATAACATTAATGATGTTATATGGAGCAGTTAAACAAAAGCCTGCACATATTTTGCCATTCTTCTGCTTGCAACTATTTGATTTTGCCATAACTACGTAAGTATTTTCAATAAAATTTTTATCAAATGAAACTTTATTTGAACTTTAAACCACAATAATAAAAATAGTCTAATTTAATCGCGCAAGTTTCTTTGATATTCAAGCATTTTGGGTAACATTCTTAATTAAAACTGAATAAATGGTTTTAGTTTAGTCAAGTTTTATCAGTAGCAATCTAAATAACTCAGTAAGAGTCTAAATAAATAACTAATTAAAAATATTTATAATTTAATATTCCCAAGCAATTGATATTCTATTTTTACAAATAGTTGTACATATGTTGCAGCAAATATTTTTTCAAGAAAAGTAAAATTACAAATAGAAATAAAATATAATTTTCATTCCACATTCGCAAACAACTAATACACATTTGCAATAAATTAATAATTATGTTTGTTGTCTTTGTGAGTTGCATGTTGATTTTAAAAATACTTGTACTGCAATGGATTTTGATGATGATTTTTAATTTCCTAAATACACATCAAACTTTAATTATTACAATTGTATGAGAGCTAGATAATAATAAGTTTTAACATTATCATTTTATTACAGACTTACTGCAACAGGATATTTGTGTTATTTGCGCAGTGTTCATAGATTGGTATCAGAAAGTCGTCATTTACCAATGAGAGAAGAACTTTTGAAACTAAGCCCACAAACACTCAGTTTATTGGTTCTAGTTGGATTTATTTGCGTTATGCTATTCAAGGTGATTAATTTATAATAATAATAATAATAATAATAATGGGTAGTACTGCCCTAAGGCAGGTCTGTAAGATGAGTTAAACTCCAACTCAATTCAGGGAAGAAGGGAAGAAGAGTTTTTCTCATTTCCATTTCACACCGCACTGCCGGCTAATTTTTAATTGAAAACATATTTTGGTCTATATTTTTAAGTGAAAATAGACATTGCGCTGCCTGATGGATTAATTGATATTTAAAATTAAATTAAATATATACAATTACAAATTAAGACAATATAGAATTAGCTATATATTTAAATCAATCAGACATAAAACAATTTTTATTAAATTGAAATAAATCAGTTGATAAATTGAATATATTACTAAAGTAAAGTAATATATTCAATTTATCAACTGATTTATTTCAATTTAATAAAAATTGTTTTATGTCTGATTGATTTAAATATATAGCTAATTCTATATTGTCTTAATTTGTAATTGTATATATTTAATTTAATTTTAAATATCAATTAATTAAAGGTAAAATTAGTAATTTTAGTTAAAATAGTTATGCATTTATAATTGTGAAGTACTAGAACTCATAAAATATTAGATATTTATGGTAATTAAAATACCTTAATCAGCTCAGGTAAAAAGTTACATGATTTCATGAAATTCTTTCGTTATGAAATTTTTAAAGCCTATAATTATATAATAAAATCTCATCTGCTAATAGATAATTCTACCAGCCAGTCTATTTATCAGACAGTCTATTTATATATTCCAAGAGTAACTATTACAAAGACAATAATTTTTAACAATTTTTGTTGTTGTTGTACTGAACTTTGGTGTATTGGTGAGCCTATTTTTTTCAATTATTGAATTTATTTCTAAATTTTTCTGTTTTGTTTTATTTTTTAGGCTTACTGCATTGGCGTAGTCTGGAGATGTTACAAATATTTAACAATGCGTCAACATGCTCTCAAGACTCTATTGCCCTACGTCATTCCTGATCCTACAACTACTTCCAATCTTGATGCTACTTTGAACCCCAATGACATCAATGCCACTCGTACAGCTATGATGATGAATTGTGAACCAGCTTACAGCTCCCTTTTGCCTGATTATGAAGAGGCTGTCAAACAGTCTCAGGATATTCCACCAAGTTATCAAGCTGCTGTTGCTAGTGCTGGGCTAATTGAAAAAGAGGTATAATATTCTTTTTTTGTGATATAATCTGATGTTCCTGAAATTACATAATTCTTTTTTATTTGCTCATTACTTTCTAAATGTAGACAATGATTAGTCTCATGAAATCACTAAATCTATATACATGATGACTATTCACAAATATATAAATTATAAACATATTTTATGCTACAAATTTATTTTGGACAAGATACAAAAGATAATTGTGTCAAATTGAACCATTTTGGAAAATTTGTATTTTAAGTTGTTTAATCAAAATATTTTCTTTACCATAGGCTGCTGCTTCTTCTGCTGATGCAACTGAGGAAACGAATAAGCCAGAGACTGAGGTAATTAAACAAAAAAAAGCTATCATTTTAATTTAATAGATATTACAAATACCATTATTCAACAGCCCGCCAAGACACCTGAACCGGAAACTACCACAAAAAGTGAACCCATAATGTGTAAAGTAAAAAATTAATTTTAAATCAACTGAAATAAATTGCATAACCGAATTGAAATTTTCATCTGCATATGCATAGATGGCAATTAGCTGACAGACATATTTTGAAAAATAACTACATATATGTATTAAACAATATATAAGGGCATATATAATATATATATATATATATATAATATATATAATATATATATATATAGATCTGAATTAGTTTTAGTTGGAGATATATATGATGTTTTATTAAATTAAATTGTATCTATATGAATTAATGGAGGTGTGCGATATTTTTTTAAATTATTAACTACTATTTGAAATAGTCACAAATTACCATAAATAGTTTGAAGAAGGAAATATCACTTCTAAAGTAGATACTTCTGCAGATGATGCTAAAATTAAAAGTGAAATAATTTTAGATATATTTCTGATTTAATTGGAAAATGGAATATTTAGATATTGTTGATAAAATATGCATAGTATTAAGTGTTAGTATATCACAGTTCTTTATATATTTGTCAATTTTGGATTTTTTTTTTTTTGACTTTGATCTTTATAAAATAACAATTTTGCCAATAGTTATTGCCTGGCCGAAATAAACTTTTTTATTTGATCTTTATTAGTCTAATAAATAGATTTCAAAGATATTTCAATACATCATTCCAACAATTCTAAAATTATGATAGATGTTTTTAGGAATAATATAAAATTTAAATTTTTTTTTAGAAATTTACTGAAACAGAATACTTTAGATTAATTATTATATACAGTAAACAATCTTGATGGATAGTTTATTTTTGAGCAATATATTTATCTCTTAGGCAAAATATATTTTATGCATAACTGTACATTATTATCAATAAAAAATATAATATGACCACAAAATATAAATTACAAAGTATTAATCGTCAGTTCCAATTGCCACTTCCATATATCAGGCCTGGATTT